ATTGTGAAATAATAAGAACAGAGTCAAAGTTACTAGCTAGTGGATACTTTCGACGTTTTCGGTTAAAAGATTTACTAGGAAGTTTCTATTGTTTCATACACTGTGCAACACTCATAATAAATATCTCTATCTTTATTTTTCTCTCTTTTATTCTTTCATTCGTTCATTCGCGTTTTGTTATACCATGCGAGAAATGTATCATTTTATACGATGAATGTGTTACCTGAACAATAAACGTGCCACCGACGGTGATCTCTCGAGCTTTTTATCTGATTCACCATTGTACAACAAACAGAACCCCCCCCTCTTGTTGGAAACGTTTTACTCGATTGTATGTAACACACGTATGGTTGATTTTAAAATAATAGACAAATTTTGACGAAACAATTGGATCATTGTATAAATGTTTTTGTTTATTGGACAAATGTATTATTTTCCTATCGTTTAAAATAATTACTTCTTCTTTTTTTCTTTTCGTTCTTTCTTTTGTATAATAAACGCGTGATTAATTTTAAAAGAAGGGGTGGTCAAATTTTTCAGAAGGGGGAAGAAATATTATTATTGTTTATATGAAAACAATATGGATAATATATAGGTTTCAAAGGGAATTAAAGACAGTTAATAAATTTGATGAACAATTTATAAATTAATAATAAATTGTTAAATAATAAATTGTTCATCAAATTTATTAACTGTCTTTAATTCCCTTTGAAACCTATATATTAATATATTGTTTGGACAAGAATATTGATAATTAAATATGGATAATATTTTGCATAGTTGAAATAATTTAATTAATTTATTATCGCAAAACAAAAAAAAAAAAAATGTCTTTTACCTTTTTGCTTATCCAACCAACGTTTAAATTTCTTTCTCGCGATAAAAACGAGAGAAATACCTAAAAGCAAAAAATATACGCGTGCAAACGTTTTTTTTTTTTTGTTTCCTTCTTGACATTTCGCGCATAATTATATTCCATCCTTTTGGAATGGTTTTGATCGTGTATGTGAAACACGAGATAGAAAGAATGAATGAATGATAGAGAGAAAAAGACAGAAATATAGAAAGAAGAATAAGAAGAAGAAGAAAATAAACCGCACACAAGTCTGACAATAATAACGCGACGGGGGTGGAGTTTGTAGAACAAACGCGTGGGTCGGTGGGTGGGTGGGTGGGTTGGTGATGGTTTTTGTTGTTAAAAATAAAAAGAAAGAAAAGAATACAAAAAAATCGAGCAAACTAACGGAAAGTTCGTTTTTTTTTATGCATGCTGCATTCTCCAACGCAGTGCAATGGAATCCCTTTAAAGGTCGTACGTCACGTTTACAACACGAAATCATTAAATCCTTCGTGTATGTGTTGTTAAGTGTTCTTCAACGTGTCACCGTGCATACACGCACGAGTAGAACCTTCCTTACGACATACGAAACAGTGCCTTAATTACACTGCTAGGAGTTCAGAGTGAAACCAAGAGAGGGAAAGAGAGGGAAAGAGGGAGAGGAGGGGTGGAGGGGGAGGATAAGTCGGAAGCAGGTGACATCCGTTTCAAGTACAACACCTTCATTCCGAATACCACCGTACTGGTTTTACTAATGATGTAAATATTCTTTTTTGTTTTACATCATCATCATCATCGTCATCATCGTTGTCATTGTCATTGTCGTCAAAAAGAATACGTGCATGCATATGACGTGGGTTCTTCATTGCAGTTATGCAACGCATATTATTATTCCTTTTTGTTTATATTTTACAAAGGTTCGTTCAAAGTTCATTTTATCAGGCTGAAGTTCGTAACTTTTTCTTCGTCTTCTTTTTGAGATCTTCTAAAACATTTCTTGATTTTATTTTTCATTTTATTTTTCTCAGTATAAAAATTGTGTGTTTCTTTTTAAAAAAAATATTATACGAAGCGTAACGTATATCAATTCGTCGTTCAGCACGTTCATTTCGATTTGGAAAAAGCTTTCTATAGTACGCCTTCTCGATTTTTCTAACATATTTCTAACGCGTTTCTCGTAGCCTCGACGATCTCAGGAATGTTCGTTCACGTTCTTTGCGTTCCACGATATGTGAACAAAAATAGAAAAGAAAGAAATAGATATGAGGGGTTGTAGTAGTAGTGATGGTGTTGGTGGTGATGATGGTGACGATGGTGGTGGTTTAATTTTCTACCAAATTCCAACGAATAGTAGTTTCTTTATTTTCCTCTTATTCGAATTTTCTTTCTCTCTCTCTCTTTCGAGGAATAATATCATTTCTTTTCTTTCAAATCTTCTTCAGGTATTTTCACGGAATACATTTTGCAGAGCGTTAATTAAGTGTCGAGTCCTCGACTTTGCTGCTAATCCAAATGAGAGACACAAATGGAACGTACTGTTTGAGTTTCCTAGTCATTTTGTGAGTGTGGTAATAAAAATACTAGGGACTACTTGTTATATAAGTTCAATGAATATTCCATTACTATTAAAATAAATTATTTCTTTTTTTATATATATATATATAAAATAAGTGAGAATAAAAAATAAAAAAAAAGAGAGAGAAAATACGGGTAGTACTCGAGAGATGCAATTTAATCAAATAAACACTTTTTACGTGACTTCATATTATAATAATAATAATAATCATATATTTACTAGTAAAATGTTGGCAAATATTCGATGGTTTAAATTCGCAAAAAGAAAACAACCCTCGAGGTGTCGTTCATCTTCTGAATTATTTAACAAATCCACCCTTCTTCTTCTTCTACTTCTTCTACTTCTTTCTTGCTTTCACTGAGAGAAATAATGTCACGAGTCACTTAAAGTACATATACGTGTTCAAATAATAAGAAAAAGAAACCATGTTACATTGTAATATTGTTACTATTCAACTTTGAGAAATAACTTTTTGCACAAACCGAGAAAAATATTATTTAATATTTAACAAAAAAGCTAATGATAGATTTTGTTTTACCAATTCGTGTAGACCAAACCATAAGACAAATTCTTCGTGTTTCGGGGGGTGTAGATTTTTTATTTAATTATTTTCTAACTGCATAGATTTAGAATGAGTAATAGGACAATAAATGTTTCGAGAGTTGTTGAACACAAACCGAAAAAAATATTATTTAATATTTAACAAAAAAGCTAATGATAGATTTTGATTTACCAATTCGTGTAGACCAAACCATAAGACAAATTCTTCGTGTTTTGGGGAGTGTAGATTTTTTATTTAATTATTTTCTAACTGCATAGATTTAGAATGAGTAATAGGAGAATAAATGTTTTGAGAGTTGTTGAACACAAACCGAAAAAAATATTATTTAATATTTAACAAAAACCTAAAATGATAGATTTTGATTTACCAATTCGTGTAGACCAAACCATAAGACACATTCTTCATGTTTTAGGGGTGTAGATTTTTTATTTAATTATTTTCTAACGACAAAGATTTATAGAATAAATGTTTCGAGAGTTGTTGATCGAAAATTGCAAAAAATATATTTCTCGGAAAAATAAGTTAAAAACATTTCGACTTCGCGACGTAATACTATTTAAAGCTTATGACAATCCCCCTCCCCCTCCCCCTTTTCATCCTCCTCTTCCCACCACCCATTTTTCTCGCTTTCAACGTGCTTGTAGGTATACACACACACACACACACATATATATATATATATATATATATATATATATACTAGATTTTCTATACAGAATTTTTCACGAACGAGCACGTAGCAACGGTCTCGTATTTCCAGCCACTTTTCCATTCTACGTTTTTTCTCATTGCTTTTCTTTACTCCCTTCCTGCTTTCAACGACCGTCGGAGAACATCATCTCAAAGGGATTGGGAAAAACATTTCCTGCTCTTTTCGCGGTTTACAACGAATGTCAACGATGTACCATCTCTCTTTCTCATTCTCTTTGTTTTTTATCTTCTTTCTTTCTTTAATTTTTCTTTTCGTTTTCTTCTTTTTATACTCAAATAAATGTAATGTAATATATTCGACACTTGACTATTTTTCAAAAGATTCAAACAATGTGTCAAAGGTCATAGTTGAAATGAATTTAAACCATTTCCGATATTTATGACAATTATAATCGTCAAATTTTATATTTTATTTGTTTTTTTTTTGTTTCATTGAATTTATGAATTGAATTCATTGATTTTCATATTAATTTTATGTAATATTATATTATAATGGGAGACGACGATTGTTTTAATCGTTTAATTTAATTCAACGAGGAACTTTTATACAGATTTTTCTTTTTTACAGTTATTAAAATGAAGAAATAAAATATGTGATCGTGTAATTTGGAATAATGATTAATCGATTGAATATTGAAAAAAATGTTCATTATTTTGTTCATACAATTACGAACTGTTGTCATAAAATAATTGAACGGTTCTATGAGAAAATTTGTTGTCCTTTAAATTCTAAATTAAATAATTAACCCTTTGAGTACTATGAACGCATATATGCGTTTGGTAAAAATTAATACGCGTATATTTATAAATAATATAATATTTTTGGTTGTATCTTGTCAGATACAAAAATATAATTAATTAATATTAGTATATCTGGTCACATTAATAATAAATTATTTCATTTATAGAAAACACTCTTCAATTAAAAGTATTCACCACTCAAAGGGTTAAACAATGTGTTTTCATTTTATGAAATAGTTGAAAAATGCATCATATCCATTACGAACAATTTACCTGCACTTTATACACACTTATATATTTAAAAAGGGTTGAAAAGGGAATTTAAATTTACAAAAAATACGAATAAAAAGGAAATAGATAAAGAAGTGTTAAAAATTGTATGAGAGTTGAACGATCAATCAAATATATTTCTTGTCTTCGATTGGTTTCAAATATTCTTCATTGCGAAGGTACGTGAAAAAAGAACAAAAATGAGAGAGAGAGAAAGGAAAAGAAAATAGTTCTAACAGATGAAAAAGGTTCTTCTACTTTTATTGATAAAAAAACAAGTACCTGTCGATGTAGAATCTTACCTGAACACCTCCAACACCAACAATGAAGAGCAGTTGAACCATAAAAAGGGCTGCTAAGAGATTCATCAGAGTGGTACCTGCCAAACTTCTCAGATCGGAGAACAAACTGAAACAAGTAGAATGAAAAATGTGGAATTATTTTCTCAATATTGATGATGTTACCATAAAAGAAAAAAAGAAAAAGAGACAGAGAGATGGAAAAAAAATACGAAACGGGAAATTGTGCACTCAATTCGGAATAGAAAGAGAGAGAGAGAATGTTCGTACGAATATAAATCGATTGTCATCGTTCGGACACGTAAATTTCTACCCCCTTTACCCCCCCGTAACGAAGAAGATTTATATTTTATTAAATCCCTGCCGCATATATCGTGCAGTTATATGTTTTTTTTTTCTCTCTCTTTCTGTCTCTCTTTTTATTTCTTTATTTTGATTGAACATATATGGATGTGTATATCGATACCTTCGAATAATTTGATTTACACTTTTATTTCGTCAAAGGTTTGATGGGTTAGATATGGGATAGAAACTAACGATTTATATGTGTTTGTTGAAATGAAACAAGAAGAAGGAGAAGAAGAAGAAGAGGAAGAGGAAAAAATAAAAAACATAAAAAAATCCCTATTCCAAACGTTTTAATTTTTAATCGTTCGAAAAAGTACACAACGTTTTGTTACCGTACAAAACCAAATGTAATTTCAGCCAATATCGATGTTACGCAAGAGGGTTTGCATATTTACCCCCCCCCCCCAAAAAAAAAAAAGAAAATAGAAAAATAAAACCTACATACGATTCACGTATAAACGAACGAACGAACGAATTAAAAAAGAAAATAAAAAGTATAAGAGAGATTGATGATTTTTACTGATACATTATAATAAAAGAGAGAAAAAAATAGGATAAACAAATTGAGAAAAAGTAAAAAAAAAAAAAAGAAGAAGAAGAAAAAAATAGACAAAGTTTAATATGAAATAGAAAAGATAATTTGTTGTAACTGACTTGAAAATTGAAAATTTAGGATAAGTTTTTACGTGTTGGGGGTTAGATTTAAAATAAATAACGTCGTTGTTGTTGTTTTTTTTAAAAGGAAAACGATTCGAGTTAGAATTTACTGTTGCAATTGTAGCAGATAGAAAACTCGTAAAAGTATAGAGTCGTGGTAGTTAGCAGACTCGTAGAAAACTTGAGGACGAATAAGTCCTTCGAGATGCAGGGAGGAAAAAAGAAAAGGGACACAACTAAATCACTTAACTCTCCTTTTATCTTTCTTTCTTTCTTTCTTTCTTTCTTTCTTTAAAAGGAAAAAAAAAGAAACAACTTGTAAGCAAGGAAAATCAGAAGAAAAAAGAGAAAGAAAGAGAAAGAGAAAAGAAATTCTTCCATATTTTCTTTGTAAGATTTTTAAACATACTTATGCAACAGAAACGCAACGTATTACATAATTCTGAACGCATTGCATTATAATGCACTCACTCCGATGGTGCATTATAGAAAAGAAAATCTTTTTCTCCTTCGATATTCTATGATATTTTTCTACCAGTTGAAAATTCTTTTACCTTATTATTAATATTATTATTATTATTATTATTTTAATTATCAATATTCTAAACTAGTTCAAAATAAATTGTTCATAAGATTTAATAATTGTCTAAAATTCACTTTGAGACTTATATATTAATTATTATTATTGTTATATATTATTTTTACTATCGAAGAAATGGTAAAACTTTTCAAACTTAAAGAAATATTTCATTACGCGTTCGCATAATTAAAACCCACGTGTAGTATTTTGTCCCTTTGTGAATTTTTAATTACGAATTTTCGCGAATTATATCCGACGTGTCAGAATGTTGTGTATGACGATATCGATCGAAAATTCATATTCAGTATTGTGCTACGTTTTTTCACGTATTTGTGGTATTTCATAATCGATCGTATATTCCGTTCCTTTTCTTTCTTTTTCTTTCTTTCTTTCTTTTTATATATTAATTTTGTTTCGTTTAATGAAATTCTTTTATTTATACAGAGAAAAATGTGTTAATCGAATATAAAATGATAATGGATATAGAATCGTGGATATGTTATATTTTTTAAATTCATTTTAATTATTATNAAAAGGAAGAATGAAGTTGCAATGGGGATAATAACGAGCTTCAAGGAACCATCTAAAATTCGAACGTGTGATTTTCATTCCCCTTTTTGAATTATTCATCTCGTAGAAACGTTTGAGTATGAGTAATGACGTTGGTGTATGTATAGTACTACGTATAAGTTAGTATAATACTACTGTACACACTGTGTACCGGCTTTTCAAATTAATCTTTCCGCTTTCCAGTGCAACTTTGTTAGGCTTCGACCACAATTCTCTCTCTCTCTCTCTCTTAGGGCTTATAGTTCTACTATTATTATTACGATTTATTAATTAATACTCTGTATTTGAAATATATTTCAAACGGTCTTACGTGTGAAACTTTTATTAGAACGACAAATGACCTCGTTGTTTTTAATTCTATCGATAGAAATATATATTTAATAATAATGCATTATTATTATTATTATTATATGTGCTTTTTTAATATATAAAATTATACGCGAATAATAGATATCTCAATTAAATATATTTTATTTTGCGAATTTTTTTTCCCCTTTCAAAACGTAATTCAAATTGCTCAGAAAAATAATTGCGTTAGTTTTGTTTTTTTTTTTATAGGAAATATTTGAACGATTAAAATTAACGGGGATTTACGGTGCGAATAAATATATTTCGAATAATCATAAATAATCGTTTTTTTCGTTCGGCAACTAAAAAAGAAAAAAAAAAGCAAAACTTTAATTCCCTCTTTTCCGAAAGATTGACCCTCAACGAAGTAGGTAGCCATGATTTTTCATTCCGTTTATAGCTCTGGTGAATAATTCATTCGGTTAAAAAAAAATACATTCAATGATAGAAGGGAGAGAAAGAGAGGAGATAGAAAAGGTAGGAAAGGTCAAAGAAGGGAAAAAGTAAGTACTCGAGTTAAACGAAATTTGGCCGATAGTATCGCAACTGTTATTCTTTCCATTCGGATGAAAAATTTGATATATATGTTTCTTTTTTATTTTATTTCATTTCATTTCATTTCATTTTGAATGAAAACACATCGAATTGTTAAAAACGCAAAGTTATTCCTTCGAAGTAACTGCAAGAATTCTGAAAAACAAAACAAAACAAAACAATGAAGAAAATTAATAATAAATTAATAAATTTATGTCATGAATACAGATTTAAACAAAAATAAAATAGAAAATACACAAACGTCAAAAACACTATGTATTTTTGATAGCATAATTAAAATCGTTGTTTCGTTGTTTTGGTGATAAAACGAGCTGCTTCGAAATTTACGATATTACTTTGCTTTTCGGTCGAAAAGTGTAATTAGTTAGAGATGTAAACTGGTATTTTAGATAACGTTAAAAACCCCTCAGCTGGTTCGAATTCCTGCAGCTGTTGTTACCAAACGAAATATTGCAATTTAACTTATCTATCCGTACTTAGAGATAACGTTTAATAAATCATGCAAAAAGAAAAACAAAAGAAAGAAAAAGAAACAAATTATAACATCAACACATTACATACAATTACTTTTAACGCGTAACACTACCACCACTCGTTCAGTTTCATTCTAAAAAGCACGTTTACGTAATACACACTTCCCTTTTTATTTTTTTTATTTTTTTTCTTTTTCTTTTTTCCTTTTTAACAGCCTGTAGAAAATTTCCGAGTGCCATATCTCGAGCGTGTTACACAACCAGTAATACCTACATTACCGCGATATTTAAGTACTAAGAAAAGAAAGATAAAAAAAAGATAAAAAAAAAAAAAAACAGACTGCACCAAAAGGTGAAAGAGAAAAAGTTTTGTTTTCTTATCGGAAATCTTTATATTCTAACCGAATGAAATCTAAAATTAAGTGGCAAAAGTATCGAAAAACAACATAGAAAACATTTTCAAATCTTCATAGAATATCAAAGTTTTTCAGTTCAATGCTTTCTCGATTTTTATTTCC